AAAACATTCAAAAAATATATTAAAAAAAAAAAAAAAAGAAAACACATTACTTTTTAAGGTAAATGCAAAAGCACAGATCATCCTCTTTATGGTGCAAAAGCTAATTCTATCACCTTTCATAGGCACTGAAAATCAGTGATTTTTCTTGGTGTATATATTATCAATTATGCCAACTGAATGGATAGTTAGAAATTTATACAACTTTCAAAACTAGGAACAAGAAATACATGAATGTATACAATTCTATATAAAGGTACTGAGAGATACATGCATACCTACATCTAAACATATCCGTTATATCTATGTATGTATATAGATAAATTTAGTCAGAAATATATAAATGACTTCATTTAAAATAGTTTAAAATAGTTAACAAGCATGTAGTAAGCACTCAGTTGGTTCTAGTGTTGCTGTCTATCATGTTCATCATGTCTATCATGTTCACCATTGTCATTATATAGCTAATATATATACTATATATAAATGTATACACTACACAAATAATGGTATATTATATAACTATCTTATTGTAACAGGATGATTGTTGAAAAATAAACTTGTCTTTTTCTTTCTCTGCTCTAACAGAGATTCCAGAAAGTCAAAAAATCATGGTAGATGATCCTCAAGACTCCATAGTCAGTCAGCTGCCTGGCCCAGATGGGGTGGAGTGGGTAAAGGACTGTTTTGTGGACGGTCGCATCAGCCACCTCTCATATACCAGCTCAGATCCTCTCAGCCTCACCTGTCTCTCTTCCAGTCTCTGCTGCAGTGCTCAGCTCTCCATGGCCTCTGATTAGTTTTATGCAGGTGCAGCCCTCCAGCGATTCATCTCACACCCATGGCATGTGCCTCCTGCCTCCTGCTGCAGGGACACAGTCTCCTAAGTGTACACATGCAACCCAGAAGCACAGAGTGAACCCATGGGGAATAGCATCCAACAGACAGATGCTTCCCTTCTCTCAGAAGGACCGGTCATTTCATAGGGACCAAACAACCCATTACTGATAGCACAGACTGAGTTATATTGGTTCTCCTTCTTTTTCTTTTCCAGGCCCCCTGCCCCTTACTCCTCCTCCATGGCACTGCATTCTCAGGTAAGTCCTCACACACAAGCCTTTGCCACAGGCTCTGTTTTCCATGGGATCTGGACGAAGATAAAAATTATAGTGGTCACCCAGTGCAGGTATATGCAATTAGCCCTACTGCTCACCAGGGAAGGTGACACAATGAGGGCCTTTGTTCTTTGGTTCCCCAAATGCAAAATGACTTGACCCTTCATGGTATAGATCTGAAAAAGGGGAAAGGAGACAGTAGTTCCTGGTGCTCAAGGTGGTATAGAAGGATAAATCCTGACCCAGGGCTCCCAGGCAAGGACTCTATCAAGAACGGAAAGACCCCTCTGCACTTGACTGAGGTCAGCCAAGGGTCCCTAGGGTTGTGGCTTTCAGTTTTCAGCTCTTTTCAATGGTGACTGAAACGAAAACTACTTGTCCCTCACGCTGTGTATCTCCAGAAAAGAAAAGGAGGGAGCAGTTCCTGGTGCAGCACCTCTGATGCTCCATGGTAGTCCCATGCTCTTGCAATAAGCCAACACAAGAGCAGAAGGTTTGGAATCTTGAGTCTCCCAGCTAGGGAGCCAGACTAGCATGCTCCATGCTCCCTGAAACATAGATACACAACCCCTTCATAGACTGCTATGCTATCTAATCAGGTAGCCACTCGCCACGGGTGGCTATTTAAATATACAATTAAAGTAATTAAACTAAAATAAAATAAAACAATGCACTCAGCTCTCAGTTGCATTAACCACAATTCAATGTTCAATAGCCACATGTGGCTAGTGGCTACTATATTGGAGAGTGCAGAAGAGACCCCTGGCCATCATGGCAGAAAGTTGTATTGGAGGTGTTGGTCTAGAGTCAAGACTTTCTAGGTTTTAGCCAGTTATCCAGGAGACAAGTACTGGACTTGCCACTCACCTATCCGGGGAATGCAGGACCACTTTCATTTATGTGAAATAAAAGAAACATGAGAGTATTTGTTCTCTGAGTTGGTAATAAAGCAATTATATGTGGTTATGTTAACAGCAATGGATATTTGGATACTGGGAGGACAGAACAACCCAATCTTTATGGAAAAAAAGACCCTACTTTTAAAAATCAAGCAAAAATGTATACATGTATGTGTGTCCCATAGGCTTAGATACAAAACACCCAAAAAGCATTTGGCTAGAACAACTATCTAGAATATAACATTAACATTCCCCAAATCTACAAAAATAATGGAGAAAATTATTAAGACAGCTTATTAATATGTAATATCTAAATTTTATTTCCTATGTGTATCAGTTATCTAAAATCAACATGGGCTCCACTCACAACTAAGGGTAAGAAACTATGTTGGGGCAGAAACCCAAAAATCATGTTAGCTTCTTCATCATCACCTAAAAGGCACTGACCTTTTGAACTTAAAATCCTCATTGTGAACACCGGAAATGATCTCATTTTCCTGCAGTAGGTATTTCCCTAACTACCTCTCAAATGGTGGTTTTTCACCAGTCCTGAGCTTTCTCCTCTCATCTCTTATCATTTTCCCTAAGTGACTATACCAGCAACTAGGGCTTCAGTAGCCAAATATAAGTGATAACTCCCAGTATTAATAAAGGCTACCATTTTTATGGCACTTATTACATGTGAAGCTATGCACCTGACAAGCATTAACCCAGTTAACAGTCACAACAATCCTCCCTGTAAGGAAGGAACAGCCCCATCTCCTCCCAAAAAACACCTGAATGCCAGATCACAGGTAACTTCAACTTCACATGTCCAGACTTAACTTACCTTCACCACAAATCCACCTCTGCACCTCCGTACCTTCATACAAAACATCACAAGCCAGAAACCTATTAATTACCCTGGACTCCTCCCAGTCACTCTTTCTCTACTTTAATCAAGTTTCATGTTCTATTATTTTACTTCCTAAAATATCCCTTATTCCACTCAGACTGGTAGCACTTGAGATAAGTCTCCTATGGTTCCTGTTCTAGAGCTCTGCATCAGCTGTCACACTCACCCCCCTGCATTTGGTCTTGTTTTCTGTAATTCTAGTTACTCTACTAGATATAACTATATATATATAGTTATAGTTGTTATAGTTATAGTTAAATAAGATATACATATATATATAAGATACATATATAAGATATATATGTATATCTTATAGTTAAATAACTATATATATATAGTTATAGTTAAATAAGATATACAGTGAAAAGCTTTTGAGAATGGCAATATAAATATACTCAAATTACTCCAAAACTTAGCAACTTAAAACAATAAATAATTACTATCTTGTGGTTTCTGTAGCACTGCTTAGCTAGGTGCCTCTGGCTTAAAGTCTTTCATGAGGTTGCAGTCAAACTGTCAACTGGGGTTTCAGTCAGATCTGAAAGCTTGACTGGGGCTGAGGACCTTCTAAGCTTACTCGTGTGGTTCTTGGAAGCCTTCACTCACCCGTTGCCACAGGGACCTTTACAAAGGGCTGTCTCACAACACGGCAGCTGATTTCCCTGAGGGCAAGTGATCCAAGAGATGATGAGAGAGGGCCTCCAAGATGGAAGTCCTGATCTTTTAATAAACTCATCTCAGAAGTAATATCCCACCACTTCTTTCATTCATTGGAAGTGAGTCATTAAATTCAGACCATACTCAAGGAGAGAGGCTTACACAAGGGCAGAGACCACTGAGAGCCATCCCAGAGGCTGCTTACTGTTATCACCCAAGCAGATGTCAGAGCCCTGGCGGGAGGGGGTATGCTGAAAATAAATGAGGCCCTATCAGCATCTCCTTTAGCCTTCTCTGCTCTTCAGAGTTGAACTGACCATGAACTTCATGTCCTGCTACTTTTTTTAATCAGTAGATACACTCTTGTCTCTCTCTCTCCTCCTCCCTGCCACCTTTGCCACCATGGGGGTTAGATGGAGATCCCACAGATTGCTGGGAACTGTTACATATTAGACTTTTTACATAATTCTAAAATAGCATTACAGTAGCAACTGGCCCTATTGTTAAGCATAAATCTGAATCAGAAAATATAACAACAATTAAAATGTAAACAATATCACAAAGTTCTAAAAATTAAAGTAACTCAAGTTAGTTTTAAAAGAACCAAAGCTCTATTGGAGATTTTTAAATTTTATACAAATTAGTAGTAAAAATAATTATTTCATGATAGTATCTATATTTCTGAGAAGTGTTTTTATTTTGATTTAATCTACTGTTACTAGTAAGAAAGAATGAGTATTCTGGATTGAACCATGTTCTCCAGAAAAGATGAAATCCCAACCCCCAGTATCTCAGAATGTGAGCTTATTTAGAAATAGTGTCTTTACAGAGGTAATCAAGTCAAAATGTGGGCATTCGGTGGACCATAATTCACTATGAGTGGAATTGTCATAACAAGGGGCAATTTGGACACACAAACAGATATGACAGAAGACAGACAACATAAAAAAGATACAGGGAGAAGACAGCTAAATATAGGCCAAGGAAAGTGGCCTAGGGCAAAGCCTTCTGTGGCAAGCCTCAGTAGGAACCCCGAGTCAGCAGAGCCAGCACCTTGATTTTAGACTTCCAGCCTCTAGAACCATGAGACACATTTCTGTTGTTTAAAACACCTAGTTTGTGATACTTTGTTACAGCAGTCTGAACAAATAATTATAGAGAGAAGAAAGAAAAAATGAGATCCAGCAAGAGTAGAGGCAGAGAGAGATTGAAAAGAAGATACATATTCATCTGGATGAGTTGATTTTATGAGAAATGCACAAGGGACTACTCTTAAAATATGATTTAGCACATTTATAGAGCAGAAGCTGAGAGACATTTCCAAAAACTGTGTAAAGGAACAGTGCCACATGAAAGCAACCAGACTCTCCCTCTACAGGTGGGGTCTGACCTGGTGGAGGCCAACAGTGGGCGGCTAGGAGGAAGAAGAGTCCTTACCTTCTGGTAGTCTTCTTTGGACTTCAGGGCCGCCTCCAGATGCTTGGTAGAGGTTGGATAGATGGCTGAGCGGTACTGAGAACCATGGTCATTGCCTTGGCGCATGCCTGGGAAAGTGGAGAGCAGAAAGGATTACTAGAGTAGACTGAGCAACAAGGCCAGTGTCACAAGTTTTCTATGATTCACGTACTAAGTGCTTGTTTTTCTGTGTGTGTGTGTGTGTGTGTGTGTTTTGTAATTGAAGTATGGTTGACACACAATGTTACATTGGTTTCAGGTATACAGCTTAGTGATTTGACAAAGTCTTAACCTTATGCTCACCACAAGTGTACCTACCATCTGTCATCATACAACGCTATTACAACACCTTTAACTATATTCCCTATGCTGTACCTTTCACACCTGTGGCTTATTCATTCCATAACTGGGAGCTTGTATCTCTTCACCACTTTTTACCCATCTCCAACAACCCCTCCCCTCTGGCAACTATCAGTTTGTTCTCTGTATTTATGGGCCTGTTTCTGCATTTTGTTTGTTTGTTCCTTTGTTTTGTTTTTTAGATTCCACAAATATGTAAATCATATGGTATTTGTCTTTTCTCTGTTTTACTTACTTTACTTAGCATAATATCCTCTAGACCCATTCCTGTTGTCACAGATGGCAAGATCTCATTCTGTTTTATGGCTGAGTAATATTCCATCACACACACCCTCACACACACACACACACACACAGATATATATAACATTATTTTTCCATTTATCCATCAATTAACACTTAACATTGCTTCCATTATCTTTGATATTATAAATAACACTGTAATAACACAAGGGTGCACATATTAAGTGCTTGTTTCAATTTCCTCTTGACACCACTCTCCTTAAACAAGCATGAAATACATCTGTTTTCCTTTGCTTATTTTAATTATAACACATATGTTTAAACTTAGCTAAATTTATTGTAGGTCTTAGATCATAGGTCATTTCCTATGCCACACATTATTTCTTGGATCCTAGTGAGACACCTGTGTGGCAGGTACCATGGTCCCTCACTTGGCAAATAAGGAGATGCCTATAAATGATGAAATAACTGAGGCTCCGTGAGCTTGAAGAGCTTGCCTAAGGTCATCCACCCAATCAAAGGAAAACCTGAGCCTTAAAGCTGGCCTAGCCCATTTTCCGCCCCTTCGCAGCAGTTGAAGTGTAGATAGTGACCAATTTCTAACTGAATAATTTAATTCTGAAAGTTAAACAGCCACAGGCTTACTATAGATCTCCTATAGATTTCTATGCTGTTGTCAACATGAACTTCACACACGTTTACTGTATCATTCAAGAATCAGTTTTAGTTTCTAAAGTGCCCCAAAACTCCTCTGACAGAAGGTTCAATCTTCCAAAAAGAACGGGTTTGGCTTTGTACTTTCAGGTGTTAAGTATACGTGAATTACCTGGGGATATTGTTAAAATGCAGATTCTGGTTCAGTAGGTCTAGGGTGAGCCTGAGTGAGATTCTGCATTTCTAATCTGTTCATGGGTGGTGCAAGAGTTTAGAATTTGCTCAAATATTTTCAAAGTTTTGTATAACCCATCAGCAACATTTTTTTAATTCCAATAATGTGGTGAGGAAAACCTGAATCTGCCATTTCTGAGGTATGTAGTGTACAATGCTTCCTCCACCCCTGCCTCCCTGAATTCTCCCAGGAGGCACACACTTTTCACTGAACTATCCAACCTTCAAGACTTAGTTCAAGCATCTTTACTCCACAGAAGTTTCCCTGAGTGCTCCTTACAGCTGTGACCATCACTGACTCCTTTGGGCAGGTCTCTCTTTTAGAGGTTTTTATCATACCACATTGTTATTATGTGGTTGTCCCTCTTCCTCATCTGTGAACATTCCAGAGGGCAGAGCTTTATAGACATAGAACCTGGTAGAACATTAGACTGATGGATATATATACTTCCATCAATATTTGTTGCATGAAGAATATATGAGTTTATATCTTGTGACCCAAAGCCCTGCAATCAATACTGGAGTCCAAATCAATTAATCAAAGTGCTTTTTACTTTGTAAATGAAAATGTAAATTCAAACGTAAATAAAATAATGTTTCTTAAGAGTTCTAGGAAAAAGCTGCCAATGAGCTAATATATTTGATTAGTAGAGGGAAGTGCAGTAGCTGGATACCAAAGGTTCACCACGGCAGTAAATGAATTAACAAGCTAGAATTCATGATCAAAACTGCAAGCTAAAAATAGAGGCCTAAATAATAACAAACCTACAAGATTTAGGGTCAAGCCTATGGCTGTCTACGGTGTGTAACATGTGTACCTGTGCATGGGTGGATATTTCCAGCACCTATTTGTTCACACCCTAGCTTGGCTGACCTCCTAGAAATTCCATTCCCTCACCTTCAGAGTCCCATCCTCACCTTGATTCACATAGGCCACATGGGGACCAGGAATTAATTAGTGGCTTAAAGAGCCAATACCAATGAAATCAAAACATTAATTTAATAAAGTAAACTAGCTCGTGCCTCTAATAACCACTGTGTAATACCAAATTAGAATACCTATTTTGTTTCTGTAGAAGTTATATATTCACTTAAGTATCATAGTATGATTATTATAGTATATAATATATAAGTATTATTATGGTATAAATATTACTTATAGCATATACTATATAGATATTGTTCAGTGTTATTTATTAAGCACCTAATATGTGCCAAATACTTTTCCAGGTGCTGAGGATATAGCAATGAATAAAAGCAAACCTCACCTCCACAGGGCTCACATTCTAGTATAATTTAAGAGATTGGATAAATATACATTCCAGAATGGCACTGTGGCAATATTTTTTTTTCTTTGCCTTCTTCAATGCTCCTTCTTTCACTTATAAGTAAGGCTTTTCTTGCATGACTTTTGTGCATGGTGACGTGATGGCAGCATTATTGTTCCCTCTGAAATATTCTCCATGAAAAAAAAAGACTGCTGTATGTCTGACCCATCTCCATTCAGCACAAGATGCAGAACTGTAAGGTCTCCATGTGGAGTTGTTTAAATCAATTCAAGCTCCCTTTCTGGAAGATAAACTAATATGTGAGTAAAAGAGGATATGCAGGTGTGATTTATATATTTTTTTCAATAAAATTTGCTAAGATTCCATATGCCTCATACATTGAAGACAATAAATATCTCTGTATTTCATGAAGATCCTTGAATTATGATAGAATTATGAGAAATTGTTGCTTATGAATAAACACTGGCTTTTTAGCAAACAAGATGGGAATAATTAAGAATTATTCCAAGGAAGCTGTGTAGCAGCGGTCTCTTCCACTGATCATATTTTCACAGATAGTCTGATAGAAGAGTGCACAATGAAACCTTCAGATTTACATCCACACTTAGAGCTTCTCTTGTACTGACATGACACCCATGGGGTAGAGACATCTGGAAGATTCCACAAAATTGTGTGGTTGAGCAGAAAAGATGTACATGACTGTCATTTCTAGGCAAGTATGTAAGGTATTGCATTTCTGTAAAAAACAATCCATGGATTCTTTATGTAATTATTGGTTATACTACTACTATAATCTGGGATAGGGATTTATAAACCCTTCCCTGAAGCCATGATCCCTTGAATTAAATTCTAACTTGATCATCTGCTAATTATAATACTATAATACCAATAGGGCTCCTGTCAGTGTTGTCCTTGTCTTCTCTGTGCAGATTTGGGCTGTCCCCAACTCACCCCAGACAGCTATAAAGAAGAGTAACATAGTGGGTATTATCCACAGCTCTGCTCCAGACTCCCTCTCACCTTTCCCCTCTGCACTAACACAAATTGATTCATCCATCGGAAAGATGGGAATTATTCACACTGTTACAGCTGCCATCTTCAAGTCTTACAGATTGAATTTACAGCCCTGACCTTCTAATCCCAACTCTTCTTGGATATCCTAACAAAACTGACAGCTCCTCATGTCATAACCAATACACACTCTCCTCCCAGTCACTCTGGCTAAACCCCTGACTGGTTAGGAAGGAAGACAAGAAAGTGCTAAAGCAATACAGTAGGGGATAGAGAAAAACATCAAAGCTTTTATTCAGATACTTGAATTTTTAGTGTTACTGGATAAGGCATTAACCCTCTGGTATACTCATGAACAACAGTGTTAATTTGATTGAATTTTTCCCATCAAAATTCACCCTGAGGAGATATTAATATCTGAAAGCACACATATCCACATCCTTGTATGTGTGTTTGGTTAACTCCAATGCATATACCTTTGAGTTCACTGATGAAGACGCTTATTAAAAGGATAGGAGCTTAAAATTTGGAAAGAGATATAGTTCACTGGGAAATATGATTTGATGCTTAACAACTAGAAAAACCTGTAGAACCATGGATTTTCTGTTCTCATTATCTTTAATATATTGCATTTACAGATGTTTAGCATCATTAAACTTTTCATTTCTTTCAACCTCCATTGGTTTATGTTAGGAACAAAAAACAGTAATTCACATGTAAGGAAAACCTGTTCACTAAATCTCTCATAAGAGGCCTAGGACTCAGAGCTACAAGACCTTGTTTTTTAAGTCTGACTCTGCCACTGACATGCTTTATGTAAATTACCTAATCTTACTGAGCTCAAAACCTCATGTGTAAAATAAGGATTATGAGGACCTAAACTATAGGTTTATTGTGAGGAGTAAATGAGATGAAACCTGAAAAACACTTAGTTGACTATAAAAAATATGTAGGTGACAAGCACTTTTATTTTTACAACTTTTAAGAATCTTGAAATGTGTCAGAATTACTTGTTTGAAATAAAAATAACAAATGATGTCACACAAGATACTCTAGGCAAAACCCCTTTCATGACCTGAAAAGCATTAAATAATATTCTTCCCTCAGATACCCATGCAGTAAAAGTCACAGAAAAATCCAAAGAGAGAAGCAAAAGCCATTTGTATTTGAGAAGAAATGTGCTAGCTTTTAACTCTTTGTCACATTTTTTAGCAGAAGCATCTTTCTAATGAAAATTTTGACTCTGTTAATTTCAATGTAAAACAAACCCAAAAAAGGGAAAAACTCTTTGAGTGAATTCTCCTATACCTGCCCCTACCCATGAAGAGCTT